AGGAAGAGTAGGAGTATGGGCACTCGGTCCAGCCGAGCTTATGAGATCGTTCAGGTTCGGAAATAGAGTGAGGGGATGGGATGAGGAAGCCATGGTTTAGAGGTGAGAGCTGTAAACAAAATGAGTTGCAGAGAAATAGAAGAGAACAGACTGAGGTTTGGCCTCCTCTGTTCAGTTTTTTTGTCTCTTGATGAGGAAGAAGAAACAGACGAGAGTGGTGAAGAAGAGATAGAAGAGAATGGTGAAGAAGAAAATGGAAGAGTGTGTGATTTAGAAGAAGGTTGAAGAGAAGAGGCAGAAGAGAAGAAGACAAGGAGGGCGCGATAGCCGAGGCGAGCGACAATCGAGGTGAGCTGCTTTTGTCGGCCAATGAAATAAAAGCCAGGCCGCGTGGCAACTGTGTTTTGCGAAAAACGAGAGCGACGCGAGAGAGTTGTATATGTAATATGTATATATTTGTTGATTGACCGTTGATTGATATATATATATTTTTGTTATATATAATTTTTTTGATGCCATTTATCACTATCATGTTCCTCCTCCTCCTCCAGATTCTGACCCATGATTTCCTTTTGATAATGTCACAGGGGGAGAAAATTATATGATGTTATGTATTATGGTATTATTTTCAAACTAATCTGATGTTATGTATTTATAGTTTGATATCTTAATCTTATATCATGTTATTGATTAAAGCTTATTTATTACACATGTGCTAACCTATGTATTTAAAAATGAATTCAGAGAGCATGACTTGAGGAGGAGTCCTTGTTACTCCCAAATCAAATCAAATCAAAACATCATTGTGTACCATCATAAAAAAAGAGGAGATTGTTAGACTTATTTATTTTGATGATTTATTTAATTATGTTTTAATTTATTTGAAAGAGAAAAATAGTATCCAAAATTTAGTTTGATGATTTATTTAATTATATTTTAATCAAAATTTGTTTTGATGATTTATTTGAAAGAGAAAAATAGAATCAAAAGTTATTTTGTCCCATTATTTCTCACCTAAATGTTTATCCTAAATATTGTTAGAATGTATTAATATTTGATTAAATCAGGAGTTTAAACAGCCAAAAACAAAGGTTCAAATAGCCTAGCACAGCAGCAGGCTAAAAGGTTCAAAAGGTTCAAGTGGAAGATATTCAAATTAGTAATGTTGGAAGTACAACGGCTATAAACGGCTATAAAGGTTCAAAAGGTTCAAGTGAAAGATATTCAAATTTGTAATGATGGAGTGAAAAATATTCAAATTGATAATGATGGAAGTACAACAGTCGTAAATGGTTATAAATTCAAATGACTACAACGACTATAAACGGTTATAAATTCAAATGAATACAACGGCTATAATTTTCATTATATATACCAAAGCCTCTAATGTAAACAAGTTACAAAATCCTGAAAATATTCTTTGATCTATAATCACTCACATCTATTCTCAGAAATTATACACTAAGCCATATAGCATTAAGCTCATCTTTCTTGTGTGAGATTTACAGAAAAATCAAAACTTCATTTTATATATCTATCTTTAAGAGATATTTATTGTAAGTTTTCTTTGAAAACAAAAATACTATTTCATCTTGTAAAAGTGTTGCAAACATTGTGTTCTTGAAATCTTAAGAGTGATTGTGAATCACCTAAGATTTGCAAGGGTTTGGACTTGTGAAGTCTGTGTAAAATCCGTGGAGGATTGCTCCATTTATAAAGAGGTTGCTAGTACCTCTGTGAAGCTAGAAGATAGTGAAAAATCTCAAGTGAAACTTGAGGAGTAGACGTAGGCCGAGTTGAAACCGAACCACTATAAATTTGTTTGCCTCTCTCTCCTTTATCTCTTTATTTTATTTTAAATTGCCATAGCTATATTTCATATTTTTACTGTGCTAAAATCGTTAACTAACATAGTTGTTAAGACACTTGTTTTAATTATTATTTTTTTCATTAATTATATTTATCTATTGTACTAGTCATAATTTTTATTAGGATATTATTAATTTTAATTGTAAAAACCTAATTCACCCCCTCTTAGGTTGTCTTTTGGGAAACACAAATTATCAAAATTGTACTAAATATATATATATATTAAAAAAATTTTAAATTAATAATTTAAAAAGTTATAAACATAAAAGTTAACTTATAAATTTCATGTATACCACAAGATAAAATATTAAATTACTTTAAGATAATTATAATAATTTTTTTTAATTTATAAAGTTCGGTGTTACACAAATAATCACATGATGCAAAAGACCAACTAATCACTTTGTTTGGTTCTAGTTTTCAGAAAATAGTTTTCAGAAAATTTTACTTTTTTATTTTCCGTATTTTAATATTTTCAATGAAATTTTTTAATATTTTAAGTATTTTTTTTTAATTTTTAGACATACCTAACATATATACACTTAAAAAGTGTAATATTTGTGAAAAAAAATCTTTTAAAAATACACCACATATCAAAAAATACAAAAATTTAAAAAAAACAAAAAAAAAAAAACAAAAATTCAGTACATTTTTCATATTTTTGTGTATTTATTAATTTTTAAAAATATTTTTCGCAAATATTTTACTATTTAGATATATCTAAGTAAGGTGTATCTAAAAAAGTAAAAACATTTCTTAAAATTTAAAAAAATATTCACTAAAAACAAAAAAATAAGAAAAACAAAAAACTCAATTATCAGAAAACTGAAACCAAACACACTGAATAATTTTTCCAACAATGGCTAAGTCCATCTCGTCAAATGCCTTAAATTTTCTCTCTTTCACTCACACACTCTCTTTTCTATCTCTAAAAACACCCATAAGAGCATTTATTCATTGGCATTCGATATCACTGTACGACGCCCTCTCTAGAGAGAGAAAAATCACACACTGTAGAATTGTTTGCACTTAGTAAATTTATTTTAGAATTAATTTTAGTAATTTAAATTGTTTATTTTTTGAATTTATTAGATAAAATATTCATATAAAAAATCATATTTATATTATTGAATCATATTTATTCTAAAAAAAATAAACGATAAATATAATTTTAAAAATAATTATCAATTCTTAAAAAATTAAATATATCAAAACAAGATGTATAATGGACTACATGAATCTCTTAAATTCTCTTATATTAAGATCTCAATGTAAGAAAATTCGAATTCTAAATTTTTAGATTAGATATATAATAAGTTATAATATGTAATTTAAAAGTCAAAAATATTTGATGATTATTTTCATAAACATTTTTCAATATATCTATACTAATATATAATGGGAAGCCTCAACTTGGTGTCCACATTTTCTGGAAGTTGTGTCATGCTAGTTTTGTTGACCAAAAAACCATACTATTTGATGACTTTGGCATTTTACCCATAGGGGTAAACATGTAATATACAAAACCTTATAAAGCAGTGAACTTAACAAACCACTTTCCAAAGGCCACGTTCTCATGACAGTTACATTCCTGAGAAGGCCATGTTCTCCTCTTTACTGTTCCATTTTTCGTTAGAAAAAGAAGACATTAATTATGGTGGCTTTGTTGAGCGAAGTATTTTTCCTTTTCGCTGCTTTCAAGTTTCATCTGGCCTTTCAAATTGGACATTGCTATAGCTATAGACGGATTTGAGAGATATAATTTGATATGATTTTTCCAATTCTTAACACACTGAAGAAAACATTCAATCATATGAAATGCAGGGCTAACAGAAATTGAATGTTTGTGTCAAATAGCAAGGACAACACCACTAAGAGGGAGAAGTTGAAGCCTCGAGAACAAGAGATAGACCAACAGATATGAATGTAAGTTCTGAGAAAGCACGTGATCTCAAGAAAAGACTTCTTTAGCCAGGACAAAGTGGTTGAAATGTGGCTTCACTAGGTTGAGTATAGGGAAAACCTTCAAATGGATCAATCTATACTAATATATAATGGGAAGCCTCAACTTGGTGTCCACATTTTCTGGAAGTTGTGTCATGGTAGTTTTGTTGACCAAAAAACCATTCTATTTGATGACTTTGTCATTTTCCCATAGGGGTAAACATGTAATATACAAAACCTTATAAAGCAGTGAACTTAACAAACCACTTTCCAAAGGCCACGTTCTCATGACAGTTACATTCATGAGAAGGCCATGTTCTCCTCTTGACTGTTCCATTTTTCGTTAGAAAAAGAAGACATTAATTATGGTGGCTTTGTTGAGCCAAGTATTTTCCCTTTTTGCTGCTTTCAAGTTTCATCTGGCCTTTCAAATTGCACATTGCTGTAGCTATAGACGGATTTGAGAGATATAATTTGATATGATTTTTCCAATTCTTAACACACTGAAGAAAACATTCAATCATATGAAATGCAGGACAATTGAAGAAAGTACAAATGATTAATTATGCACTAGATTTCTGCAATTAAAATGTAAGTATTCCTTTTATCTTTCGCATCACATTTGCACCCAGATTGGGTTTCACAAACTTTGGAGCCAAACATGGAAACTAAAATTTTACATTAACCATACTATTTCCACAATTGAAAAACTGTTACACTTCTCAGGTTTTAAATTCAATCAGTATGCATATACATTCAACCATAGACGGATTTGACAGATATAATTTGATATGATTTTTCCAATTCTTAGCACACTGAAGAAAACATTTAACCATATAGAAAGCAAGACAAATGAAGAAAGTACAAATGATTCATTATGCACTGGATTTCTGCAATTAAAATGCAAGTATTCCTTTTATCTTTCGCATCACATTTGCACCCAGATTCTGTTTCACAAACTTTGGAGCCAAACATGGAAACTAAAATTTTACATTAACCATACTATTTCCACAATTGAAAAACTGTTACACTTCTCAGATTTTAAATTCAATCAGTATGCATATATATCATGTGTGCCACAACTTCTGGTATATGAAAAAGAAGCTGCCCTTCCTTCAGCTTCTCTCTCGCCGGTTAAATACATCAACCTTCCATCAACCCCCTTCCCCCCCTCTCTCTCTCTAAACATGCCTCGCGTGTTTGCTCGTGTGGACGATGTTTATTCACCGCCATTTTTCATCGTCAGAGGAGGTACCAACACCGTCACAATCCCTCAGATCACCCACAACGACTCTTCTCCGCCGTCGTCATCTTCGCTTGCGACTTCTTCACTAATAATCATCATCATCGCCTCCTCTATCATCGTCACTGCCTCTCTCTACCTTCTCCTCCGTTTCATCACTCGCCACTGCAACAACCGCTCCTTCGCCGCCGTAGATGACGTCGTCTCCTCCAGAAACAACCGCGACGATTCAAATTTTGAGCAGCGAAACTCCTCCAACGATTTGATCAACTCTCTTCCTCTCTTCACTTTCGGTTCCGTCACCGGAAACATCGGCGACTGCGCTGTGTGTTTATCGAAGTTCGAGAGGAACGATAAGCTACGGTTACTTCCTTTGTGTTGTCATGCTTTCCACCCTGATTGCATTGAAGCGTGGCTTTCGTCCAATCAAACGTGTCCGTTGTGTAGGTCCGCTGTGTATCCTACTGAGGAAGATGTACTGAATCAAATCATTTCGTCCAACAGTTTCCGGATTGAGATCGGAAGCGTGAGTCGACGACGAGGTAGGTCCGATTCCAGCGATGGTCGAAGATCGTACTCAATGGGCTCGTTCGACTATATTGTCGACGAAGGCTACGAAGTCTCCGTAGATTCCACACATCGGCGAGGACTCTCTGATTGTACTTCCGTTAGCATGGACTCGGCCGGAGTACCGGTAGTGGTGAACGCGCCGCCGGGAGAGAATTTAGCTTCTGAAGTCGCTGGACGAAGCTGGCTGAGAGACTACGTGGATGGACTCGCGGGAACAGTTTCCGGATTGAGATCGGAAGCGTGAGTCGACGACGAGGTAGGTCCGATTCCAGTGATGGTCGAAGATCGTACTCAATGGGCTCGTTCGACTATATTGTCGACGAAGGCTACGAAGTCTCCGTAGATTCCACACATTGGCGAGGACTCTCTGATTGTACTTCCGTTAGCATGGACTCGGCCGGAGTACCGGTAGTGGTGAACGCGCCGCCGGGAGAGAATTTAGCTTCTGAAGTCGCTGGACGAAGTTGGCTGAGAGACTACGTGGATGGACTTGCGTCGATTTCATCTCCCACGTTATCATTTCGCAGCTCTGGCAGGTTTTTCACTGGTAGTAGTCACCGGAGCAACACGGTAGTCGCCGTCGGCGAGGAATTGGAGGCTAATCGTATTGGAGAAGAGATAAGTGAGTTGTTTCGGTGGTTCTCAGGGGTATGATTGGTGTATAAAATTAAACTTATAAATTAGTATAGAAGTAAAAATCTCTTTAGGGATAATAATTGACATTTTAAATAATTAGTATTGGCATCTTTAGACTTGTATCATTTTACTGGTGGTGATGAATAAATGATCTAAGAATATAAGAAGAGACTTTTATAGTGTTCTTGGCTATGACTTAAATTGGTTTTAGTTATGAGACTTTGTAGTATTTGTTTATGAGTCGAAATGACATTGGTCATGAGGTTGTGATATTTTGTTGTGAATTGTAGTAGTCTTGGTCATAAACCGGTTGTGGTGTTTTTGTTATAAAGTAATTTCATTTCCTTGTGACCTAAATTGACTGTGACTCAAATTTTAGCAGTATGCTATATAGTGGCACTTTTCCATGAGACTGTTGTAGGGGTTGGAATTATATTGATATTTTGATTAGTGTTGCATAGGTTATGTGTATGTTTGGTTGTAGATAATGGTACAGGATAAATTGTTTATGAGATTGTTACTCCTCTAAGATAAGGAGATTAGAAATGTTAAAGGAGATGATATTTTAAAACAAATCCTTCGTATTACTTGGCAAGGCACTTCCAGATATATATATAAACAACAAAATTTCTTTTTAAGGAGTTTTTATGTTATTTTATACATTTAATTCCAATCAGTTAGTGCAAAATAATTACTATTAAGAATTGATATACTTCTTTTTTTTGTTGATTTTTTTTTTCCTCTGCTCCAACAAAGGAAAGATGTTTGGCAAAGTTGGATCCTTCAACTAAAGCCAACGAATTTGACTAACGCTGCACCCATTTCTTCAAAACATAAATAAAAGTACAGTCGGGTAAAAGAATAATTTAGAATGAATGCACAAATGATTTTTTAAAAATTTTATAGTACACGAGTGATCACACAACCAATAGCAATAAAAACAAAAGAAAGCATGAATTGAGAAAATCCAAATCAATCTAATATGAATAAAGATAAGGACACACCCATCTTTACACCCAAAGAAAGGGGATTAAAACATGGTTACTAAAATATGTAATCATTAAATTTTCAGTAGTTAATAGCCAAAGGATCTTTTTTGAGCCCAAAGATCTTTTTTTAATCATAAAAGGAATACTTATGAATAATTTATTTCCTTTTATTCTTCTATTTTAACTTATTATATTTAAGAGTCATATAAACTTATATAAAGTTTCAAATGAGCTTGATTGAGCTAGGGGTTATTGTTGGGCTTTGATACCTCTTGTGTTATTTCTCCATATTGTTGGGGTTTGATACCTCTTGTGTTTATTTCTCCTAAATATGGAGGTTATATGCAGTTTATTTTTTTCCTAGTTTGGGCTAGAGGTGATTGTTGTTAGGTATGATGATTGTTGACTTTCTACCTATTGTTTCAACTTTTATTGTTCAGCCCTTGTTTGAGTAGCTCTGTTTAGAAATTTTTTTTGATTTTTTTTTTGCTTGTTTGGATGCGATAATTGTGAGAAAAAAAAATGATTATAATTTCGATGTGATATTTTATTTTATTGACAAAAGTAGTTTATTTTATCTTTTTGTGTTAATTTAGTCACTTTAACTCTTCTCAAACAAGGCCTAAAAATTTGATGTAATTACTCTGTTACTAATTTTAAATACTGCATTGAGTTATCAATTATCACCTAAAAATCGAACTTGATACCATTGTTGAATTTTACCAACATTGTTTACTTGTTATGTGGCCTCTCATATTGTATGATAAATCCTCACCTTATACATAATTTGTTGTACAAATATGCGTTGTACTTGAAATTCTTGAATCTATCTTGTTTGGATAAGTTTTTACTAGCTTTTTATTTATTTATTTTTCTTTTTTCCTTCTAACATATAGGTTTGAATTTCTTTGGGAAAAAATAAAACTACACACTGAAAGCTCAAATAAAAATTTAAATGTCAATTGAAAAAGTTAGAAATTGATTTGAAAAAACGAGTAAAAAAGTATAAACAAGCAGTGGAGAAGTGGAACTTAATTGTCAAAAATCAAATTTGAAACCGATTTGAGTCAATGATCCTACCATGCATAAAGATGGCAATAGGGACAACGGTGTAGATATTAATTTTCTATTCCCATTACCTTAATGTAATTTTTTTTCCAGTCTTCATCCCCTAATTGGTTTGAGTTTTTTCCCAACCTAACTTGACCTTTTTAATTTTTTTTTTCAAGGTTCATAGCCAAAGCCAAATAAGCTTATTTTAAAGAAATCAAATTTATAATATTGAGACAATCAAATAAGTTTTTAGTAATTAAGAAAAGAAAAAAAAAACTCAAAAAAAAAAAAAAATTTGTATCCATCCAACAAAAAAAAAAAAAAAAAAAATTTAAAAAAAAAAATTATTTTTTTTTTGAAAAAAAAAAATTTTTGTATATAAAAAAACCCCTTTGGACCAAAAAATGAACCCAAAAAAAAAAAAAAAAAAAGACTTTATGAGAATAAAATTCCAATTATTATTGACCTTGATCTATAAAAAAACGAGAAATACTGGTTCAAAATCATCGATAAAACATATACTAAAAAACAATACTAAATGACAAATTTAGGGCTTGCGAACGTGTGACAAAGGTTAACAACAGGAAATTAACTTTGATTATTATAATATATAAGAATTTTAGAGATTAAATTTTTTGGATTTTATGAAAATTTTATTATAAAAGGTATTTAGGGACCAATTTCTATCATCGTGAGGATAGTTGCTAAAAAATCGTCTCTAAATGTCAAAAATAACATTTTTAGCGACAAAATATTGAAAATGTCACTAACAAATACACTTTTAGGGAAAAAATAATTTGGTCTTAAAAAGATAATAATTCATCACTAATGTCTAATTTTCATTGTTAAAAATATAATGACATTTTTCGTAACAAAAATATTTGGTCCCTAAAAAAAAATTATCCTTAAATTTTAGTGTCTAAAAAAAATGTAGGGTATAGAATATTTAAAATATTAGCCACAAAATTTAGGGACAATTATTTTTAAAGTTTTAGAGACCAAAATTTAGAGAAATGAACCAAATATTTGAGACCAAAATTTAGGGTATAGAATATCTAAAATATTTGAGTTTTGGGGATTAGGTTCAATGTAGATAATGAATTTGATACTTTGAGCTGAGAGAGGAGATTATCACAGGTATCGAAATCGTTTTGCATGAAAGCGGCTCTAAATAGCTCGAATAGCTACAAAATGTCTGTGAGATTTGGATCCATGAAAGCAACCAATCGTGGTAAGTGCCAACGGAGATTGCTGCTGCTAGATCATCGCCATTGCAAATCACGGATGCTGGAGTGAGAGAGTGAACCCTAGCTGTAAATAGGGCATATGGAGGAGTGGGCAGGTATAAAAAAAAAAGGGGGGGAAAACCTATGCATGTATTTCGGGTATCCATTGCCATGCATTTGAGTCATAGAAACAAACATGTTTTTCACACACAATCAATTGGTCAATTTGAGAGACCAGGATTCATATGGCACATATATGATATGATCATCCGCATATACCCAAGCCTTGTTGTATGAAGAAAATTAAGGAATAGATAACGTTGGTGTTTTTAAACATGGACAATATAAACACAGTAACAGTAAAATTTACTTTGTATTTCGCATTTCATAATTCCACCAAACATTTCTATATAGAAGTTGGACAAATACTAAACTTCTTCTTACATAAAACCTATATGTACTATACTTCTTTCAATCGACAAAGGCTATAGCTATTTCCATGTAACAAGTTCTTGGTGCCTGAAAGAAAGATTATGGCTTTCTCTTCTTGAAACAAAGATTAGAGCGGGATATTAGTGAATGAATTAAGAAATTTTTTTAAGGAAATTTATAGCAAAGTGATTAAAAAAATACCAAGTGAACATACTTATTCTAATCAACAGAAAAATATACGTTGTTATTGTTCCCACTGCACCCAGCAGAATATCGCCTTTCGTAAGAAACAAACTCGTGTCCAGAAACTGTGACACAGAGTCGGATCTCTTGTATTACTCAATACCTTCCATCTTCAATCTTAAAGCACTCCAGAATAGTATTGTAAGTCATTTGTTCTGTTATTCCAAGCATTATATCCCTCACAATGTATGTCCTTTGACTTGGCTGAATTCCTGTTGAAATTTTTTCCATTACGTGAGTAATGAATTTGCAGCAAGTAAAAGTACTCCTTAAATTCAAACAAAAGAAAAAGAGTACAGTTAGCAATTAGATATACTAAAAGATCGAAGAGCGCCGAGGATATTGATTTTGTTTTTAAGGTTCATGGTGAAGGAAAAATAACTCTTAGGGTCCAGTTTTGAACAAGTGCCATGTTTTGTCCATTATTGCTTCCAAAATGCAAAATTAGCCTGAAACTTGTTTTTGTAAGCTGGGTTGTCTAGGAGACTTGGCCAATGGGTTGAAAGTGAACCTTGAATACCCTCCACCTACAAAAAGACATTATACCATCCAACAAACAATAAACATACAAGTTCAAATTTGAAGTTAAAAAACAAAATCCAAAAGAAATTTGACTTGTGGACTTAATCTTCTCTCTTTAGTTCTTGAGGGATGTGATCACGACACTTTTTTGGCATACAAAAACCATTTGGCCAAGTCAATGACAATTCAAAGAAACCAAGTTCTTCCCCATACATAAGAATGAAAACAAACAAGAAGAGAAAAGCCAATTGCAACTTTACAACTCCCATGGTTTAACAAACAACTCAGACAAAAACAACAAATGCAAAGCTACTGTATATATGGTAGTTGGTTTGATTTACCTAATGCTAAAGTGTCAGTTTCATTCCCTCTCTCTTCTTTTTACATGCCATTGGCACATCCATATCCTAAACCCAAAAATGTCCTTTGCTGCTACTGAGTGCATATGGTATGAGCCACTTTTGTGTGTGTATTACTGAAATTTTCACTTTATGAGAAAGCTTCCTTGGCCTGTGATTGGTGTCACGGCCTTGGATTTTTCAAGCCAACCGTG